ATGAATGCATAAATGAGTAGAACAACAAATCAATGTTTCTTTCTCTCTCTCTCTAAAAATCTATCAATAAAAGTTTTTTAGAGAAATAAAGTCAATCAATATATATTTTTTAAAATACTAATACCCTGGGCCAGGTAGGAAGAGTATTGTCCTGCTATGCCAAGGTTGCAGGTTCAATCCCCATCAGGACACAAACAACAATCAACCAGTGAATGCATAAATATGTGGAACAACAAATCAATGTTTCTATCTCTCTTTATCCCCTCCTCTCTCTCTCTAAAATCAATAAATAAGAAATTAAAAAAAAAAAAGAAGTCAGGTTAGTTCCTGACTAACTATAGTAGTTAGTAGCTACCTATAGTAGTTTTGTAACTACCTGGTGATAACTGCCATAGTTCCAGCAGGGCTTAACCCAGTGGAGCAATTTTCAGGAACATTTTATTCCACCTGTTTCAGAATCTGATGCTCTCTCCAGGTCGACAGTGTCAGAATTGAATTAAATTGTAGAACACCTAGTTGGTGTCCCCTGAGAACTGGAGAATTGTGTGTGGGAGAAAGAAAATTTCCTCTACCCTCAAGTTTCTTTTGGTTCATCTAATAAGTAAATCTACACGAGACAGATTAATAAGAAAAGAAATAGCCAAATTTAATTATATATGAATGCATGGGAACCCCACATATATGAGAGACTCAGAGACTCTGCAAACATGAGAGGTTCAGGGATGTAAAGTTAAAATGAGGAATACATGGTTCTGAGCTAAGGATAAGTAAGGTGCCTTTGTGTTTCAAAGGGTCATTGCAGGGTGATGAAAAGAGCAGAAATTCAGTAATTAGTCATTTTCTCTGCCATATAGACAGGTTGAAGAAATGTTACCTAGGCCTGCTCTCCTGCTGCCTCTCCTCCCCCAGCCGCATTACCCTTTGCCCTTCTCTCTCCCAAGTTCCAAGTGCCCTTCTGTCTCTGTAACTTGTTTCCACAGCCCAGCTGACTCGCTTCTACAACTTCTGTAACTTTCTTTCTTTTTTCTTTTAAAAAAATATATTATTTAATTATTTTTAGAGAGAGGGAAAGGGAGGGAGAAAAAGAGGGAGAGAAACATAGATATGTGAGAGGAACATCAATTGGTTGCCTCACACACCTCCAACTGGGGACCCGGCCAGGCATGTGTCCTGACCAGGAATCGAACTGACTGGGGACTCGTGCATTGGAAAATTTTAGTTTAAGTAATAGCTAATGAGCTTAGCAATCAATGCCTGTAAAGGCTTTTGTTCCAGGAACTAAGGGTATGACCCACCCTGACTCCAGGAGACCATAAGCCATTCCACCATTGTTCCTCAGGAGGACTGCAAGCAACTCAAGATGATATCTGAGCCATTGTACTCCAGTGTGAGATGACCAGGACAAAGCTAAAGACCACTGCCTGGAGCACAGCTTAAGTCCATCACCTGGGGCACAGCCTAAGGCCAGCACCCAGGACAACAATACTGAAGTTGTTTTTCTCTAATCCAATTAATTTTTCTGTGAATTTCAAAACCCCTCACTGCACCTTGTTTCTTCCCTGCTATAAAAACCTTGGCCTGGAAAGAAAAGACAAGATAGTCTTTTGGGTATAAACCTGCCATCTTCTCAGATCGCCAGCCATCCAAATAAAGCGCCCATAAAGATTCAATCCCTGTCTCTGCTTATTGGGTTTGTCAGTGACAGGCAGCCTGAACTCCGGTGTCTTTTCTGGTTTCAAAACCTGGGACTTTTCAGTTCTCAGGCCAATGCTCAATCCACGGAGCCACACCAGCTAGGGGCTCTGTAACTTTCTATTTAAACATTTGTTTATTTAAAAAAATTAAATGAAAATAAAATAAAGTATTTTAAGAAAGGTTATTTAAGTAATTAAAGTGGGGGGTGGCGGCTGGGTAGAAGTTTCTCTTGAACCCACAGGCTGTTGATTGCCTTTAGGTCAAAGTAATCCACAAACACAGAGGAACATCTTGGGGTGACCTGTTCTGGACCCCTACAATTTCATGGTGATGTCACAAAACACTTCAGGAGTCAGTGCCCAAGGCTGAGCTAAACACAGAGCTTTGACAATGACCGACTTGGTTCTGGCACCAAATCCCTCTCGCTTCCCCCCTTGCTGCAGGCCTTGATTTATCCCAGGCTGCGGGTAATCCACTAATCTGGTCTCTAAGCAGGGTACATATTTAGGAGCTTAGTTTTACTACTTATCTTGGGATGGGGGTGGGTGATGATCAAATTGGACCCTGTTCCTTATTCCAATAAATGGGATTTTGCCTGGATTTTTTTTATTAATAGGTATCCCATGTCACTCATTAACTCTCCCGCCCAAATTATTTTAAATCCAAGTGGATTCTCTATTACCCCAGTGCCTCTAGGTCCTTATAGTGTTGGAGTTTATTCTCAAATTCAAGTGACTGGAGCTTTCTTTGAAGTTATTGCTTTCTGGAATCTCTGCCTACCCAGCTTTTTAAAAAGGTTGCCTGAGGCCAAGCTCTGGCTTCTGGTTGTGAAAGAGCCTCTCTCTACCCACCCCACAGTGGCTGTTGTTAGCAGCTGAACCACCCAGATGCCAACCTCCCAGAGGTTCCTCCTTCCCACCCTTACGTCAAGTCCTGAACTGTGAACTGGCCTCGTGACCCTTCCTGTTTCGCAGGCTCTTCAGGCCCCTCTTCAGAGGCACCACCACCAGTCAGTGCCAGCCAGATAAAGTTAGGGGGGGTTCATCTTGTGTGTGTTTTCATCTCTACTCTACTCAGTCTTCTTCCCCTTTGGGTTTTTTTTCAGGGTCTGTATTTTTGGGGGCTCCAACTCCTCCAGACATATGGACTAGCTGTTCATTTTCCGATGAAGTGTCTCTGTCTCTAATATACTTTTTTCCAAAATGAGTAGAGGAAGTCCTACGTGCTATTCCAGAGGTCATTTTTGTAGAGATAATGGGATTTGAGGAAAAAAGCACACATGGTCTATTTGCTCTTTGCTCAAGCTAGCCACTGAGTGACCTTTGAAATTGACTTTGATGCCTGCTGGTGTAAAACTCTAACCAGAGAGTGCTCGGTTATACTGCCTTGGCCAAGAATCCAGAAAATCCTATCAGGGGTCTCCAACCTTTTGGAGTCTCTGCGCCAAGAAGAAGGGTTTTCTTGGGCCATATATTTAAAGTACATTGTGACATGAATCACAAAAAAATCTCATAATGTTTTAAGTAAATTTACAATTTTGTGTTAGGCTGCATTGACAGCCATGCTGGGCTGCTTGTGGCCTGCAGCCTGCAGGTGGGACTCCCCCGCACATGCAAACACTCAGCAGAGGCTACCCACGCGAATGTGTCACCCAACGCCATGAGGGTCAAGGTTTGCCTATATCTAAAACTATCTGTTGCTGTTCACTAAAGCCATCACAGGGAGTTCCTCCTTTCTTCCATTAGCAGACGTCTCAAGTAGATGCCTAGAAGCTGCTGCATCCCTGCCCTCGTCACTCTCTCAACCTGTAGCCCTGCCTGGCAGGCTTTAGATCTGGTGTAATCACTCTCTCAGAGGTCACAGGAGTCTCCTCAGTGCAGACTTCGGTGAATTGTTTCCTGTTTCCCTTCCCCCTCACCTCTCCGGAGAACCTGGGCACAGTGTCTGCACTTGTGCCTGACATCTCCCCGCTCAGAGCCTCAGGCCTCAGTTGCCAGGACTCTAGGCCATCCTGTGTCTCCTCTTTCTGCAGACTTTTCTTTGTTTCCTTCAGGGACCTTGCTTTCTCTTCAAATATGGGTGACCCTCAAGGTTTGAACAGGTCTGTGTTGTCAAATCCTTTTCAGGGAGCTGCTTCCCCGTGGAAATAAACGGTTCTCAGGCCCAAATCCCTAGACCAGACTTCTGACCTCAGTTCTACTTTACCACTGGCCCGCTCTATCCTGCCTTGGGTACCGCTCCCTACCACCACAAACTCACCTCCTGGGAGGCAAAGTCAACTTTCTACACCCCGAACCTACTTTCCTCCTGGACAATTTTATTTTCATTGTGTCTGCCAATATCCTTCCATTTTTCTAAACTTAAAACTCTGGAGTGACCTTTTATTATTCCCTTTATCATGTCTCTTACCTATAAATAGTAAGGGTCTTCATCATATCTTACTAATATTAAGAACTATTTTTGTCTTAAAAATGTTTAAACTCTTTGTAGTATTAACAATGAAATAAAGCATACGTACTTTGTATTCTGACTGTGAGGGTCCCTGACTCCCTTCTCCTTAGTCTGTTTACCAATAAAGAGAGAAGTGGAGCTTCCCAGCATGCAGAAGTGGCTCCGGGACTGATTTTGACCAATGAGCTCTGGGACTGATTTTGACCAATGAGATTCAAGAGGAGGTCTTTTGATTCGTCCATTAGGCGAGGCTTTACATATACGATGACTTGAGTTCTTTTTTTTTTATTTAGTTATTTTTCAAGTACATTTTTCTGTTTTTTACTCCCATCCCAGCCCCCTCCGCCCCATTCTCCCCACCTTCGTCCCACCTCCACCCCCCCTTAGTTCTTGTCCCTGTGTCCTTCATACTTGTTCCTTAATGACTTGATTTCTTAATTCAATTTCTGTATTTTCTTTTTTTCCATTGAGATATAATAGCCTATTGTATTAGTTTTAGATGCACAACATAATGATTGCAAAATGATCACCACAATAAGTCTAGTTTACATCCATCACCACACATAATTACAATTTTTTATTGTGATGAGAACTTTTAAGATCTATTCTCTTAATAATTTTTAAACCTAATTGTAAGCTATAGTCACTGTGCTGTATATTATAGGCCCAGGACTTATTTATCTTATAACTAGGAGTTTGTACCTTTGGAATACCTTCACTCATTTCACCTACCTCCCACCTTTGGCAACCACCAATCTGTTTTCTGCATCTATGAGTTCCTTTTTTTCTTTTCTTTTTTTTTTTTAGATTTCACATGAGACCATACAGTATTTGTTTTTCTTTGTTTTACTTACTTCACTCAGTATAGTGTCCTCGAGGTCCACTCACATTTTCACAAATGAAAGGATTTTCTTTTTATGGCCGAATAATATTCCACTGGAATGATATACCAAATATACACCACATTTTCTTTATCTGGTCATCTGTTGAGAGACACAAAGGTTGTTTCACCTATATTTTTTTATTAAAGGTACAGAATAATTTCCCCAAGGGAGGTCTTCACTTTGAACCATGTTCTCAGGGTGCTTTACATTTTGGTCTTTCTTGAGGCCAGAGAGATGACTTTACCACTCACACATCTCCATGGGTTTTTGTAAGGAAGAAGTGACCAAGCAGAGTCCCATGGATACAGAAAGTGGAATAAGTCTGGGGGTTTCCAAAGTCTGGGGGGAGGGGAAAGGGAAGCCACTACTTGGTGCCTCCTTGGAGCGCGCCCATGCCCTTCTCTTAAGCATGTACTTTTTTTTTTTTTTTTAATCTGGGAGTCTCCATGGAACTTGCAACCAGAACACTGAGCAGCAAAACCTCTGGACCTGTCTCCAAGGCCTCTTTTCTCTGACTTTTCAGTGAGCTTTGCCTAGGCTCTCCTGTTGCTTCTTGTCTTAAGCCCTTCCTTGTTTCACTGCCCCTACTTTAATAAGTGATTTCTCAAAATAAAAACAAAAAAGGAAATAAACACTTAATGGATATGAGGTTTTCTTTTGGAGTGATGAAAATGTTTTGGAACTAGATGGTGATGGGGTTTGTATACATTGTGATTGTCCTAAATGTCACTGAATTGCTTATTTTGAAATGATTTATTTTATATTATGTGAACTTCACCTCAAATTTAAAAAAAGAGTCCCATTAGTAGAAACATTATCCTGCCCTAATTGTTCTTCCTAGAGAGGAGGGATGGGGAAGAGTGTGGTAGAAATGGCATATAGATGCGTGAGTCACAAACTCGTGCTAAGGACCAAGAATTCTCCACCTTCTTTCCTTCTCCTCTCCTGTGTTTAACTTGGGGATATTCACTGTGAAACAGATTGGCCTCACGTCAGATCAGGAAGGGAAAAAAAGTCTGTGGTGACCTATGAGAAGCATGTCATAGAAAATAATTCCATTATCCTGAAGGCCAGCATAAAATACATATGAACCAAGAGTTACTTGATGCAGCCCTGACTGGCCTAGCTCAGTGGATTGAGTGCAGGCCTGTGAACCAAAGGATCGTGGTTCAATTCCCAGTCAGGGCACATGCCTGGGTTGCAGGCCAGTTCCCAGCAGGGGACGCAAGAGAGGCAACCATACATTGATATTTCTCTCTCTCTCTCTCTCCTTCCCTTCCCCTCTAAAGATAAATAAATAAATAAATCTTATAAAAAAAGAGTTACTTGATACAAACCCCAAAGTTTGTTATATAGCTGCTTTTATTCTTATTCTTAAAAATAATGTTCCCAAATAATGTTCTGGCTTGTGTAATTGTGGGAAAGAGGGTTTCAGAAATTCACCCAGAAAAATCACTGTTGTGATTGCTTTTTATTCACCCCATGAGACTGCTCTCGGAAGCCCTCACCTTGAATCATTATAAAGACTCAGCTGTTCCCCAGCCTCCCAGATCAGTTTCTGTTACTGAGTGACTATTTGCAAAATGTCCCTCCATGCTGAAGGGGACATCCTGACAGAACTAAAACTTTTGGACTTCTTGCCACTGCTTGGGCCAGCAGTGCAGTACCTGCAGTTTCAGCCTGGGATCTCAGGCCCGGGGACAATTCCAAACTTTGGGCATGGAGGGATTGTCTGAGTTGTGGTGGCACCTCTTGCAAGCTAATAATTTGGAGTTCCTTTTGATATTTTTCAACATCTATTTGTTATTTGCTGTTGGAATTCTTTTAATTCTTTCTCCAGGTGGTGAAATCAGTGAGTTCTGGCAGATGTGTAAGTGGCTCCTCATGGAAACCTGGATGACAGGGTGCCCTGGTGCTGGCTCGTTCCTGCTGGTTCAGTTTTTTAGGATTGGTGCTCAGATCATGGCCTGAGTGGCCTTTCCCTGATCTGGATCTCACAGGAGTACTTTGGGGAGGTTTTACATCTTGTTTAGTGCTTAAGAGACTCAGCATCCAACCAGCTCTGAGGCTGTCCATCCATGGCATTCAATAATGAAGACATGTATTAGGGCTAGGGGGCTGGGTGACGAAGTACCCAAATATCCTACCAATGTCTTCCTGACATTCATTATCCTGTACTGGACGTTACTCTGAATTTATCATATTCACAGGTCTTTTGAATGATATGGCTTTTGCCATTTTGAATCCTGTGGGCATATACGATGAAATTTCTGCCCAGCCTGACCATGCAGCTTAGCTGGTTAGAGCATTGTCCTGATACACCAAGGCTGCAGGTTCAATTCCTGGTCAGGGCACATACAGAAATCAACTAAGGCATGCATAAATAAGTGGAACAATAAATCGATGTTTCTCTCTCTTTCAAAAGAAATCAATGAAAAAAAAAAAGATTTCTGCCTATGAAATGACCAAAGAGGTCTTGTTCCTATTGCATCATGTTGATTTACTGAAGTTAGGAAATTATGATGCAAACAATAAATAGCAATCTCTGCAAATATTTAGGTTTGTAAAGAATACTTTGGCAGTAGAAGAAGAGGGAAGAAAGGGGAACGAACATTTCACTTATTCATAACTCACAGTGACTGCGTGTGAGGAAAAGAGGTGGAACAAGGCTAAGATCTGCTACAATGTACGCTTTCAGTAAGTGGCAGAGCCAGGGCTCGGCCACAGCGACCGTGGTCAGAGAGCTGAGTTTCTGCTTCCCTCTCACAGCAAATGGTTACTTGCTTGAGGAGGTTCCTGGCTTGCTCAGAGTATTAATGTCTCCCGTGTGAAATTTTTCCTTTATAAAACACATTGCATTTAAAAAATATTTTTATTAAAAAAAATTAACTTCAAAGGGAAGAAACAGAACAAGAAATAAACTCTGTTTTCTACTGGTTTTATGGAAATAGCAGTACTAACTACTTTGGGGATGAAATTCACCATCTGAACAAGGTCACTCAGAGCCAGGTAGTTATGTTGGTGGGTTGGTGGCCAGCCCTGCTTTGAAATCCTGTCACTACTACAAGAGCAGCCCAGGTTTGGAAGCAAATGTGTGCTCATTGCCTGTTCCTAAGAGTGAATGAACTATTGCTCTTTTAGGCTTTGTAACAGTCAGTCTTTTGCTTTCTGTCCTTCTACCCTGCTGTGCTGCTCAATGAGAAAGCCTTGAAGGATGATCCTCTTCCAATGTGTGTTTTCCGCCATCCACTGCCACAGCCATTTGTGTGACTCCACTTTCTCTTCACTGCAATAAACAAAGACACGCATCTACATCACAACTTTGCTCTTTGGTAAATCCAGGGACTCTAACCAGACACTTGCAGAGCCTCAGCTGAGAGGTAAGTAGATGTCTCTTTAAAGGAATTCACACTGAGCTGTTAATGAGGCTTGGCATGGCAGTAATTGTTTGTACAGAGTGGTTAACACAAATGTGTTTCTAACTAGTTATAGTGGGAAGGGATAGTTCTGGACAGAGGCCACTGGTATCCCTGTGTTCCCTGCCCCCCCCCCCCACAACCTCCCTCACCACTCAACCCTTAGACAGCCAGGAAAGAAAATTCAGGTACCAAGCTATGTCTTAATCTTCTGACAAATTCTGCTTCTCTCAAAAATCAAAGCATCTCCTGGGAGCCAGGACTGCTTGGTTCTCTAACTGGGAACCTACAATACATACATTACTTAATTCTACCTTAAGTAAAGAGCCTGTGGGTTCCCAGTATAGCATTAAACCCAGCACTACAATGCTAGCATTCATAGTGCCAATATCTAGACCTCATTTCAATGAGAAGAAATATGCCACTGTTATTTCAGTTTTTTCTGTCATTCATAACCTATCATAACTTCAATAACAAGGTCTGTATATCCCCAAAGGCAGGGATTTGGAGGTAGTGAGTCCTTAAAGTAATACAACTAGTCCCTCCTGTTTTCCTTTGAAACAAGATATTAGATGCTAAATCGGAGTGTCAGTCAGTTGCAAGAGCAAATCCTGAACATGGATCCAAGCATATAATATTTGTAGCTCTAAGCTTCTTTAAGGGTTGAAGAACGTTTACTCAATGTTTAAACAATTTTTTATTTACTAGAGAGAGAAGAGTGATTTATTGTTCCACTCGTTTATGCATTCATTGATTGATTGCTATGTGCCCTGATTGGGGATCGAACCCACAACCTTGGTGTATCGGGAGGACTCTCCCTCTCTAACTAGCTGAGCTACCCAGCCAGGGCACAATGTTGATTGTGTGCTAATCTCTGTGCTGGGCATATCAAAGATGCTGCTCTGCATTTATTCTGCTTTGTGATTTCTGTGGATTTGATAGAAAAGTATAATGCAGTGGAGGAGAAGAGGGCAAAAAAATACTTCAAAGCATTTTCCCAGATTCTTCTAAGACCCTCAAACCCAGCAATATATTCCTTTCTATTCCTACAAAGATGCTCCCAGATTGCTCTACCAGGTGATCATGAGTCCAGTTTTGTAGGGATTACACATTCCTCAAGACGGTTTCCCCTTCCCAATCAGAAAGTGGCTGTGGGCAGAGAAATGCTCAAAAGAGACAAATTGTTCCCTCTCCTCAGCCCTTTTTTCTAGCCGACACTGCCAAATAATATTGGGCGGGGGCTCTGTGGGGGGATTCCCTCCCCCACCCCATCCGCCAGGGATGAGAAAAAGTCTACCAAGACGTCATCTGCTTGGGAAGGAAAGTGGCTGATCTCTCAAAGGAGAAGGGCCAGGAGCCTTTTGCTCAATGGGCCTTTACTGGGTTCAATTTGCACAGGAATACAGGTAAAGCTCATCAATCATTGTCAGGCAGTAAGAAGTGAACAATAGATAACGTACAAAGAATTCTGAGGGCTTATTCTGAGTCAGGGTCAATTAGCTAAAGGGCTGTAAAACCTTGGGAAACAAACTCATTTCCTGCTCTGACCCTTATCAGAAAATTGAGGGCATTCTTAGCAAAGCAAGTTTCACAGGATTTTGTGCATTTTTTCTTAGGCCTGATCACCCTGGGGATCCTGACCATTCTAGCCCAGGACTGTACCATCTTCTGGCATTGTTTCAG